CTTGACACCAGCTTTTCATTTATTGATTTATTGACTGCTCTGGGTCTTCGCTGCTGCTTGCGGGCTTTCTCTAGTTGTGGTGAGCAGGGGCTACTCTCTAGCTGCCGTGTGTGAGCTTCTCGTTGTGGTGGTTTCTCTTGTTGTCAAGCACGGGCGCTCTGAGCTCAGGCTCAGTAGTGGGGGTGCATGGCCTTAGTTGCTCCAAAGCATGGGGAATCTTCCTGGACCAGGGATTAAACCCATGTTCTCTGCATTGGCAGGCAGATTCTTAACCCCTCGACCACCAAAGAAGTCTGACATCAGCTTCTCCCTTCCAGTCTCCTGGCGTCTGATGAATCCAGTATTTGGATAACTTTGAAATACCTCCTTTAGCGTCCTTCCAGGTATAGCATTCCACAGCAGGAGGAAATCACAGTGAACCGTCACTCTTTTAATCCTTGTTCAGCAAGTTTAACAAGCATTTCCTGTTCCTACTGTACAATACAAACCACTTTAGCTAAGTGATGTGAGAAGGCTGGTCTGAGAAGGAAGCCACTTGGAGGATACCAAAGCCTCACAGTGGGGAGCCTTGGAGAGAGCTGGGGCCAGCTCTGCCCCAGGCAGAGACCACCTCTGCATTTTTCAATAATGTAATACAATAAATACCCTTTTTGCTTAGCCCCTCTTAAGCTGGTGCGGAAGTTTCAGGTGAAACTGAAGAAGGTCTGGGAGACCTTGATGTGGGCCTAGTGCACTAGTGCTGACACGCCTCAGGTGTGCAATGTCAGGCAAGTAATAACGGGATGAGGGCATGTCTCTTGAGGGGAGAAAAAAGACCAGTCCTAGACCTGACCTGCTGTGGGGCAGGAAAAGTGAACTCTAGGCTGGCTTCTTCTACTTCCTCACTGAGTTGTCTCTGGGCATGTGCTTCCCAAGGCTGTGGAGAGGCTGAGGGAGTGAAGGCTTGGTCTCGATGTCCCCTGCCCAGGCTGCCAGCCGCACCACAGCCATCCGCTCCTCAGAGGGCAGTGTGAGCTCCCCTGGGGGACTCTCGGGGTCAGAACTGGGACTCATAACTCAGAATAGACACATCCATTGCCAACTGATGAGATGGGAGAGGCAGGGGAGGCCAGGCTGCCTTGCCTTCCAGCTGCCACTCATCTCTGTGGCTGCCGGTCCCCAGCACCAGCACACTGGGAAGCCCCTTCAGGGTTCAGACTTCCCCTCTGTGCAGCAAAGAGGGGCTCCTCCGTGGCCCCCGCTCTACGGGGCACAGGAGATTCACAAACTGGACCTTGCTGGTTCCCTGGGGCTAGAACTTGAGTCACAGTCTGGTGGTTCTGACCATGGCTCCCCGTCCCCCCACCCCCCAGCCTCTGTGGGCCTTGGTTCTGCTATTTAGAAATGATTTTCCTACCTCCGAACCAAGTTCCCTGCCTGCAGTGTCCTGCCCAACTTATCTACTAGCTCATCCTTCCTGGCCTAATTAAAGCCCCACCCACTCTCAGAAGCCTCTTCCAAGCCCGTGACCATGACCATCTCCCTGACGCAGGTTCCCAATGCGCTGGGTGCCTCGGCTACAGCGTTGGCAGGCCCACGCGCATCACAACTATTTATAGATGTCTTCAGCTCCCTGGAAGGAAATCGACTCAAGCCCCAAAAGCAAGTTCTAGAAATATGCTTAGGAAGACAGACAAGAAACCTGGGAAAAAACAGTGTTGTTCCCTTGGGTAGGGGGTGTGTGTGTACTTTTACTTTTTGCTTCATACATTTCATCGTTTATAAAATTATCAATATTACAAGGTTGTAAATATTACAACCTTTTGTTAGAAAACAACATCTTTAATAACATTCTACATGAAATGTCACATACTTCTTAGCTGTATTCCTAGGTATTTTATGGTTTGTGTTGCCATGTTAGCACTTAAAAAGAATAAGGTGGGTCTTATGTGCCAAAAGAGATTTTCAGTTCTATTTTTGAGAAAAAGCAAGCTGCAAAATAATTTCTTCAGAATAATACCTTTTATAGAAGAAAATCTCCAGACACTAAAATGATATTACATTTGTATATATGTACATATGATATACACATATATCAAATCAGGTGTATACATATTTGTATAGCTATATATACATATATATGTGTGTGTATATATATATACAGCACATTAATATATGTGTGTCTGTATATATACACAAACTAGAGTATATATATATTCTTCACACTGATATATATGTGTTATATATATGATATAGATATATGTATTTATATATCTATATCATATATATAAACAGTTGTCAACTTTAGGACAGGTTGAAGGGGACACAATGGTCCAAGGGGCTTTGACAGCACTGTTTAAATTTTGTAACAATAAAGTGGCAGGTATTTCTAAATAAATAATATAAATACATCACAGGATGGAATCAGGAAGCCTGAGGTGGGAGAGGCATTGTTTCAGGTGAGCCCATGAGACACTTCAAGTTTAATTGGCCCTGGCAGCTGAGTCCAGTTGGACATCTTGGTGAGACAGTTTCTGGAAGAGTCACAGCATATAATTTTCAAAGTTAAAAGCATGAATCTCAATATAGGGTATGTGTCAAAGATTACTTAACGCCTTAAGGAAGGTACCAGCATATGGTGGAAGAGCTAGTTCAAAGAGAACTGGCAAGACAGAAGTATTGAGAAGCACCAAAAGAAAAAGTGCTGGAGTTAAGATTGCTGGGTTACATACAAACTGGCTAATGACCTACAGGGGTCACTGTTACCTTGGGGGTCATCTTCTCTACCTGCTAGAGTTATTTACAGCTTAGCAGTACTTAACACCGAGTTGGAGCTACAGTCATCCTTTTGCCTTTTCAAATTTTGAATTTTTTTTCTTAACTGCTTCTTAACTGCAGTGTTGCTGCGAATCTCTGTGGATCCCAAGTTTTCGCAGTGCTATTGGTCTGCACTGGGTGGAGAGTGAACTGTTCACACTTGGTGGCAGCACACTAGGCTACTCTGGTTCTGGGGCCACTGGTGCTCCTGTCTTGAGAGAGCAGGAACCAGTCAGCCCTCTGCCTAACGTCAGGGAGCCCTGCAGCAGGACTCTCACACTCATGTCTTCAAGGAGGTTGCAGGGTTGAGCTGAGACTCAAGGGCAAACTAGAACTCACCAGGACTGGGGTTGGGGGGCAACTGGGTGAGTCAGGAACACAAGGAGAATAAACCCAGAGAAACCGGGGTTTACTCAGGAAGGCTGGGGTGGGACAGGACCAAAGACTGGTTCATCAAGTTTCCTAAAGGCAGATGACCTGGGGCTCTGGGGAGGAGGTAGGCAGTACCAGGGAAAGGCCCTGGCCTGGGGAGGAGGCCTCTTGTAGGTGCGGGGAAGGGGGATGTGGAGGAGGCCTACTCAGCAGGTGAGGCTCAAGTGAGGAAGCAGGCGACCTCAGGCTGACAGAGGGCGGCCCTGCCTCACCCTGGGGCCTTCCTGGACTCCCCAGAATGAGGCCCAGCTATAGGGTCCTTCACGAACCCTTTGGCCCTGTGCTCCTGCCCCAGTCGCGTTATTGCGCCTTTGGATCCAGGACCACAGTACCCGCTCGACACTGTGCAGACACCAAGATGGGCCAACCCAATAGGAAAAGCGGTTCTCAAAGGCCCAGGCCCACCAGGACCCAGGAGTTCCCTCCCCATAAGTCCCTCCTTCCCAGCCAACTCAGACACCGGCCTGGCCCCAGACATGGGGCCACCTGCAAGTGGCAGACCAGGGAACAGAGGCGAGGGGACCATACCGTTCAGAGGGGGCCCGCCCCACTGGTGCCTGTCTCAGCCCCAGCTTGCAGGAAGGCAGCTTAGAGACAATAGATTTTCCGGAGGCTCAGAGGTAAAGAATCCGTCTGCAATGGAGAAGATGTGGGTCTGTGGGTTCCATCCTTGGGAAAGATCTCCTGGAGAAGATCCCCTGACAACCCACTCTAATATTCTTGCCTGGGAAATCCCAGGGACAGAGGAGCCTGGAGGGCTACAGTCCAAGGGGTCGCAAAGAGTTGGACACGACTTAGCGCCACCACCACCACCAGGGATGCCTAGAAGCCCTCCAGTGGATGTTTATTGGGAACGATGAGGATCTGGTGGGGTCCGGACCTGGCTAATCTGCGGACTGTGTGTCTCTCCACGCCCAGAGATCCTGAGGTTGGGTGGGGTGGGAGGAGCCCAAGCCTCTTCTCTTCCCAGGGTCTCTGCCTTGGCCTTACAGATTGGGAAACGACCCTGTGCCTTTGCACCCGCACTGCCCTCTCCCAAAACCCTTCTTCTCCCCTTGGTGAACGCTGGAGCCAGCCCCATACCCAGCTACAGAGCAGCACCCCCTGGAATGCCTTCTCTGGGCGCCTCCACCACCAGCTCCACTCAGCCTCACTGTCAGACCTCCTTCAGACGGGGGACCCAAACGTGTGCGCTCGCCCGCGCGCACGAGCACGCGGGGCCTGTCACTTGCAGCGAAAAGGCTTTGGGGCTGGGGAACCGCACAGGGCTGAGGGTGGATAGGCAGGTCACTCGGCCTCTAGGGGAATCGGGTGTCAAGAGACTCTGGGCGGGGTGGAAGGGGGACAGCGTTGGAAGGAAGGAGGGGTGTGGTGCTCTGGGGCGGGGGGGGGGGGGGGGGGGGCGGTATCCGGAACTGCGTACCAGGCTGGTGCCTGCGCTCCCTCCTTCCCTCTGTCCCCCTCCTCCCCCTCCTCTCCCTCTCCTCCCCTCCTCCCCTCTGTCCCCTCCTCCCATCTGTCCCCCCTCCCCCTCCTCTCCCCCTTCTCTCCTCCTCCCCCTCCTCTCCCCCCCTCCTCCCCTCTATCCCCTTCCTCCCCCCTCCTCCTCTCCCCCTCCCCTCCTCCTCTCCCACCCCTCCTCCTCTCCCACCCCTCCTCCTCTCCTCTTCCCCTTTCTCTCCTCCTCCTCCCCCTTTCTCTCCTCCTCCCTTCCTCCCCCTTCCACCCCTCCTCCCCCTAGGGGTTGGGTGGCGGCCGCAGGCTGAGCTCACTAGGCTGCAGTGACGCGCGTGCTCCAACTGCGGCCCCCGCTGCCCCGCCTCGTCTCCCGGAACCGAGCTGGCGAGCATACCCGCAGCTGTGTCAGCTCCGCCGCCCTGAGCTCCGCGTGGGGGAGGCGCTGGGGCGGGCGCTTCTCAAGTCTGGCGGCCCGGGAGGCTTGACTGTGTGAACGAGGCTGGCGGCTGCGGGGACGCAGAGAGGTCTAGGGGATTGAGCCAGCAGTCTCTTTGTAGATTGCTTTGTTGGACTTGACTTCCCCACCCCAGGTTATTCAAAATTAACATCACACCGCCCCGGGATAGAAGGTTCTCCTAGGTCTCACCACTCCCTAAGGCGGGACCCCAGACCAGTGGCCATCCAAAAGGGCCAGCAGGTTCCTCCCAGTAATAAGGAGCTCACTAGCTATTACTGCTAAGAAAGATCTTAACAACCCCCGCCCATTCATTCACACCACAGATATTTACCAAGCACCTACTATGTGGCAGAGGCTGGGCACTGGTTTAGATAATGAGGATTAATTTAGCCCCGATAAAACCCAGCCTTGCGGTTGATGTTCCAGGATTCTTCCAAGTGTGTGGATCGTTTCCCCCTGGAAGCCCTCCTAGCTCTGCCCTCTGAGTTAAGCCCCCTCTTCTTTGCTCTAGTAGCCCCAGCCTCCCCCTTCATCAGCACCCACCAGACCTCCACTTCCTTAACCCAGAGAAGGCAGAGCCTCTTCTGGTTTGGACTTGACCAAGGTGTTTAGTGATGACTGATGCACCAACGCCCGGTGAAAGCTAAATCCTGAGCTTTAAGAAATCCCCACAGCTTCTAGCTCTGCATTCTGGGGTAGGCTGTCCAGGGGAAACCAGGTCTTGCCTTGAAGCACAGACCCTAGAGCAGGTATCCTGACAAACGTGTGGTACAGGAAGCCAGGATTGCAGGGGTTGCCTGTCTGAGGTGAAGCCCACAGGTCAAAAGGCCTGGGACCCCCACCCACAAACAAGGAGGTGAGCGTGTGTTTTCACATAGGTGGTGGTTGGAATCTAGGATCAGAGAGGGCGGCTGCATGTTTCACATTCATTGGCCAAGGGCAGATGGCCATGTCATTGTTTAGTCGCTCAGTCATGTCTGACTCTTTGTGACTCCATGGACTGCAGTATGCCAGGCTTCCCTGTCCTTCACCATCTCCTGGAGTTTACTCAAATTCATATGCATTGAGTCCATGGTGCCATTCAACCATCTCATCCTCTATCGTCCCCTTCTCCTCCTGCCTTCAATCTTTCCCAGTATCAGGATAAGGGTCTTGTCCAATGAGTCTGCTCTTTGCATCAGGTGGCCAAAGTACTGGAGCTTCAGAGGCCATGCTGGGAGACTTCCCCAGGGGTGAGGGGAAGGAATCCCCTCTCCCCATTGGGGGAACAGCCCATCTCCCAGAGCTACATCTCTGTGAGCCTGACTTCCTCTGTCCACCCTTGTTCTTCCTTATAGCTGAAATTCCTCTATCTCTGCTCAAGGCTAGTTCATTCTGATCCTTTTACTTGCTGCTCAGATGTCACCTTCCTGGTCTACCCTATCTAAAATTGGTCCCCTCCTCTGGTTCCCTTTATCCCATCACTTTACCTTTTCAGAACACTTACACTGCTGCTACTCACTGGGATTGTTGCCTCACTCCTCTGCTAGAAAATAAGCTCCATGAAGGTAGAAACCTTGCCTTTCATCTGCCTTATTTCCACTAGTTGTGCCTTGCGTAGAGGGTATTTGTTGAATGAGTGAAGTTCTGTTCTAGAATCATAAAAAGAATGAAGCTAGAAGTCAGGAAAACCAAATCCTGTTCTGATACTAATTTTTAAATTTATCTTCGTGACTTCCCTGGTGATCCAGTGGCTAAGATTCTGCACTCCCATTCTGCACACTGCACAATGCAGGAGGCCTGGGTTCGATCCCTAGTCAGGGAACTAGATCCCACACGCCGCAACTGAGAGCTCACATGCCACAACTAAAGACCCCCACATGCCACAATAAGGATCGTAGATCCTGAGTGTCACAACTAAGACCCAGCACCACCAAACAGATAAATAAATATTCAAATTTTTCTCTTTATACCTACTTTCTACACAAAGGATTGGAGTCAGCTTTTAAATATACAGTGAGCCTGAGATAGTTAGGTAGCTAGACTGAAAAATCAGGCAGAGAAAATTCAGGCAGGTTTAAAAGAGCAGGGTAAAGGCCATGGAGTCCTTTATCATTGCCAAATTTGTGCCTCAGTTATGGCTTTGAGCTTCCTGAGAGCTAAAGGAAAAGGGAACAGTATTTACTACATGATTTATCTTGTCTATGAAGAGATTTCCAGTTCCTTAGGGAAAGCAAACTTTTTGTGGGTAGTCAATATATAAGAAGTTTCTCACACAGGCCTTCAGATGGGGATGCTCTCAATAGCAGCGTTTCGAGCTAAAGGCCTTGTTCACAGAGCACTGCAGCATCAGCAGTGAGCTGGGTGCCAAGAACAACTCAGCACATGCAGCGCTGCAGGGTGGACAAAGGGGTTCTCTAGGGCTCTGGCTAGACCCGGGCGGGGGTGGGGGTGGGGTGAGGCCTCGAATCAAAGAGGGATAGAGGGACACAATTCCTTTCCAAACAGTGTGGCTCCCAGTTTTGGGGCTTACATGGTCAGTAATTTTATTTTCAGATTGGATGTTTTCAACAACAATATTGCTACCAATATCGATAAAATATTCCCGTTTAAAAAAAAAAAGGAACCCAAATTGGATCAAGATCTAATCCCCTCTTTATAAAAACTGCAGAAGAGATGGAAGAATATGTCTCACCATACCACAGGGGTATAATCAGCAAAATCTACAATGTGGAAAATTCCAAGGACCAACAACCTAGATTCCTCAGCAAATAAACTACAAGAGGAAAAAAAAGTGGGGAAGGGAAACCTATAGACTATAAGAGACTCTTAAGAGACATAATCAAAGGAAATGTTTGGACTCTGTTAAGATCTTAATTGAACTCAGTTCAATTCAGTTCATCACTCAGTTGTGCCTGACCCTTTGCGATCCCATGGACTGCAGCACGCCAGGCCTCCCTGTCCATCACCAACTCCCAGAGCCTACTCAAACTCATGTCCATTGAGACAGTGTTGCCATCCAACCAGCTCATCCTCTGTTGTCTCCTTCTCCTCCCGACTTCAATCTTTCCCAGCATCAGCGTCTTTTCCAATGAGTCAGTTCTTCGCATCAGGTGGCCAAAGTATTGGAGTTTCAGCTTCAATATCAGTCCTTCCAACGAATATTCAGGACTGAGTTCCTTTAGGATGGACTGACTGGATCTCCTTGCAGTCCAAGGGAATCTCAAGAATCTTCAACACCACAGTTCAAAAGCATCAGTTCTTCGGTGCTCAGCTTTCTTTACAGTTCAACTTTCACATCCATACATGACTACTGGAAAAACCATAGCTTTGACTAGATGGACCTTTGTTGGTAAAGTAATGTCTCTGTTTTTTTAATATGCTGTCTAGGTTGGTAATAACTTTTCTTCCAAAGAGGAAGCATCTCTTAATTTCATGGCTGCAGTCACCATTTGCAGTGATTTTGGAGCCCAAGAAAATAAAGTCTGTCACTGTTTCCATTGTTTCCCCATCTATTTGCCATGAAGTGATGGGACCAGATGCTATGATCTTAGTTTTCTGAATGTTGAGTTTTAAGCCAACTTTTGACTTTCCTCTTTTGCTTTCATCAAGAGGCTCTTTAGTTCTTCGCTTTCTGCCATAAGTGTCGTGTCATCTGAATGTCTGAGATTATTCATATTTCTCCCGGCAATCTTGATTCCATCTTATGCTTCATCCAGCCTGACATTTTATATGATGTACTCTGCATATAAGTTAAATAAGCAGGGTGACAATATACAGCCTTGACATACTCCTTTCCTGATTTTGAACCAGTCTGTTGTTCCATGTCCAGTTCTAACTGTTGCTTCTTGACCTGCATACAGATTTCTCAGGAGGCAGGTCAGGTGGTCTAGTATTCCCATCTCTTTAAGAATTTTCCACAGTTTCTGTGTGTGATCCACACAGTCAAAGGGTTTGGCATAGGCAATAAAGCAGAAATAGATGTCTTTCTGGAACTCTCTTGCTTTTTTGATGATCCAAGAGATGGCAATTTGATCTCTGGTTCCTCTGCCTTTTCTAAATCCAGCTTGAACATCTGGAAATTCACAGTTCACATACTATTGAAGCCTGGCTTGGAGAATTTTGAGCATTACTTTGCTAGCATGTGAGATGAATGCAATTGTGCAGGAGTTTGAACATTCTTTGGCATTGCCTTTCTTAGGGATTGGAATGAAAACTGACCTTTTCCAGTCCTGTGGCCACTGCTGAGTTTTCCAAATTTGCTGGCATATTGAGTGCAGCACTTTCACAGCATCATCTTTTCGGATTTGAAATAGCTCAACTGGAATTCCATCACCTCCACTAGCTTTGTTCATAGTGATACTTCCTAAGGCCCACTTGACTTCTCATTCCAGGATGTCTGGCTCTAGGTGGTGATCACACCATCGTGATTATCTGGTGATGAAGATCTTTTTTGTATAGTTCTTCTGTGTATTCTTGCCACCTCTTCCTAATATCTTCTGCTTCTGTTAGGTCCATGACATTTCTGTCCTTTATCGTGCCCATCTTTGCATGAAATGTTCCCTTGGTATCTCTAATTTTCTTGAAGAGATCTCTAGTCTTTCCCATTCTATTGTTTTCCTCTATTTCTTTGCATTGATCACTGAGGAAGGATTTCTTATCTCTCCTTGCTATTCTTTGGAACTCTGCATTCAAGTGGGAATATCTTTCCTTTTCTCCTTTGCCTTTAGCTTCTCTTCTTTTCACAGCTATTTGTAAGGCCTCCTCAGACAACCATTTTGCCTTTTTGCGTTTCTTTTTCTTGGGGATGGTCTTGAATCACTGCCTCGTGTACAATGTATAATTGAACTAACAAACTGCAAAAAAGAGAGAGATAAATTATATATCTGAAGACTAATATTTAAAAAGTACACTATTTTTTAAAGTGCGAAAATGCTCATCTGGTTATATTAAAAC